AATCTCGTCCAGACTCCACTTTCCTCTTTTGTTTATCAGCACACCCAAGTAAGGAGCATGAATCTTCAGCAGCAACGAATAATAGGCCTTGTTGAACTTACCTCGAACTATCATGCTGGCAGCGTCTCAAAATAATGACGCATTGGAGACGAAGGCTTCTCGAATGAAAACTAATCGCAGCAAGGGACAGATTTATCTGTATAGAAATTCAATGTGATAAATTATTTTCCAATGTGATAAATTATTTTCAAAAAGTTCTCATACGGCTGGAAGATAAGAAATTCTGATGATATCAAGCCAACAACTACAAACCATTAATCCACTTAATCAAAAAGAACCAATGTTTCTATTTCGTGTTATTTTGTGGCGTTTTGTGGTAATCGATAATTCAACAACTATCATTGCGAATAAGCACATAAATTTGATTATCTATTGCGTTTTGAAAATCTCATTAGCTGTCTGTGAGTGGACATATTGTTGCTCAACTGAATGGCTTCCTGCTGAGTTCGTGGCCACCACTTTGTACACTCCTTGATCGTCTTGCGTAGGATTCTGAAATTTCTGGCATATGATCAATATTTAAACTGGGAATTTAAAGATACGGAAAATTCAATATTAGGAAGTTCTAAATAGAATAGGTGAATACCTGTAAGAGAAAAATGTAAAATGAATTGGCAGTATATGATTTTTTGTAACGATTATATTGGAGGGTTTTGATCGCAATTCTACAATTTTATTCCTGAGGAAAGGACCAAGAATGCATAAGACCACTTAATCACATGGCAGTGATGGTACAGACATTACTTATCCTTGACTTACATCATGCTCTGTTGTGCATACCAAGTCCGACAAAAACTTTGACAAACCTGTACAACTGTTGTCAGCTGCATTCAGCTTTTTATTGGTAATGCTATTTTCGAGCGCCAACCACTTTGCAACGTTACTTATGATTTCCCTTTTTCTTTTATTTCTCCTAGCATTAAATTGTCTTTTCGAACAAAAGTTGATATTACGCATCATTAGAAGCAGTCCAGCTTTGGTCATCAACTCCTCTACCTGGAAGAAAACTGGGTGGAAACTTTGTCATACTATCGAAAAATTACAGGTCCAAGAGGAAACACTCTCGTTTATTCTCGCAAAAAGCTGTGGCATGTCCGATTTATCTAAAGTTTCTCGAGCCGAAAAATTAACCTTACAGATCCACAGAGTACAGCTAGTTCCCAACCTGTATATGATGACCCACAACCATCAAACCATTGGAACAGTGACGACTATGCGACAATGGCGTCCGAGGAAAAGCAGTCGCAGAGGAATAAAGCTTTTTCTTTACACCCTCGACTGCAGATCCTTGCATGTGGGCCTCATGGTCCAACGTGGCCACTTTTTCTGAGCCCATTGTAGGGATTTTATTCTTACACTGTAGCACATGATTATCCTTTAACGGTGGGCTTGGCTCTATCCAGAAACAGTTTCGAAGAGCTTTGCGGGCTCGGCATCTCCCCGATAACAATGAAGATGCTATGCGATAAACTTTTAGAATATCTCCTCTTCTAGAGTTTTTGAAGAACATTGAAATATAACGTCAGCCAAAACGTCCGCATGGATAAGTAAGATTCGAGAAAGGAAAGTGACAAAAAATTAAATATAGCTAAGCAAAATAAAAAATAGCCGTAGCAGCAGTCTACATGTGGATCACGTGGTCCCATACGGCCAAAAAAGTGTAGCCCACATGTAGACTACATTGATAATATTGTGGGACAATTAATTTCGAAAACAAAAGTTTAAAAATGTAGTTGCTGCTTTTTTATGAGGTACACAACAGTTTCACAATAAAAAAAATGAGTGTTCTAAATCCACCCAAGTGCTAATAGTCAGTGAAAATAATGAATGATAACAAACCTTCATAATGAGTGTGACTGCCCATTTACCAACGCTCCTTTTGATTTTTTGAACGAATCGATCATTTTTTAACTCCTGATCTTTGAAGAACCTAGAAATGAAAAGAGATTAAAAGCAGAGTGGATGAACATATTGGCCCGAACTCAGTCCGTTTTTGAGATGGGCCAACCACTCGTCCTCGATTCAGAATCGTAGCAGCGTTCTGAATGAGCATTTGGCTTACCCCATGACTTGCGGTGACTAACCGACGTGAAAGCTTGCACATTCATCTTCTTAAATTAGTCTGGCACCAATGGGGACCCTTAACGTCCGAAGGGACGGATGGAACGCTTGGTTTGAGCGAATACCAATCCTAGGTTTGATGGGCCGTGCCACGAGTGGGTGATAGTGCGCAACTTGCTACCACACCATGTGCCCCACGAAAACTATCTCAAGTTGTTGAGCCGGTTGTCCACAACTTGAGCAATGGCGGTCGAGATTTTTGAATTCATCTTCGTTCCCTCTAAACTTACCATACATTATGTTTTTTGATAATAAAATCTAGCATAAAAGGATAAGGATAAGGTCTTTGGCGTTAATCAATCCCGTCTGGAGGATGCGCCCCGCATTCGACTTCTATTCAGAATCGTAGCGGCTTTTCGAATGCGTATGAGGCCTATAGGATGGCTTCGCTTAGTCAGCCGATGGACTAATCAGTGCTTTTATCCTCCCAGACGAGTTTGGTACCAATTGACCGACCCCGGAGGGATGTAAAACTTGGTTGGCCTATTCAGATATCGATCCAATAATCGAACCCGTAACCATGCGTATGTCAAGTGCGCTCGCCACTTGCCACTACATCACCTACGCCCACTACTTGGCATAGAAATGATATAATATGCTCACAACCTGCTTGTTGGAAAGCAAAGTAAGGTTGGATGCGGTTTTCTGTTTATACTTCTATTTATACTACATATGATGTCAGTAAAGATCTTGTTCTCACTGTCCTCCCACATGCCGCTTTATGACGACCCTTGACATCGGTGTTTGCCCAGTGACTCGTGCAATACATGCTGTTTGAAATGATGCAGAAAAACTCTTCTACGGCATAGAGGTGACTAATCTTAAAATCAAGGGCTGAGAAAATGCAAAATCATTGGAACCTCTTCACTTGCTCCATGAAAACCATTAACTCTACAAGGGACGGAGCCTAGTAGAAGAGCTATACACCGGTCACCTGTTTCATCGAAACTCTGATATTGAAACCAGATTGGACGGTGACACTACATCCTAATAGATGGATTCCCCCCGGGG